TTCGTCACTAAATTCTATAGATTTTTATAGTAATGTCTACAGAATCCTTTTGGATTGATTTCCATCTAGTTCTATAGAACTTTTCTGTAAGTGTTTTTGATTTCTATGCCTTGACTCAACTCTTCTGTATGCAACAGGTTTCCATTGTAAAAAGAATGACAAAGATATGAAAGGAATGGTAATTAGATCTTCTTTTTTTTTGAGATACACCATCTCTACACAAACTGTTAAAAGGCTCTGTTGGACTCCCAGAGAACTAATCGGATGGGTTCATAGTTTAGGGTTGAGACACATAAGTGATGAATTCTTGGACAGCTGCTACTATTTTATATGGTACCTATTGCACCCATTGTCTCACAGGTAGAAATCATAAGTGGCTCCCTTCTGACAAAGCTAGACACCTAAGATGGATTGGTGCTGGTTTGGAGGTGTTCTGGATGTTAGTAGCAAATTCATTTGGAATACTTCAGCATAAAATGAATCTAGTGTGTTTGAGAGGAGCTAAGACAGAGTGATAAAGTGAGCTGAAGGCAGCATCTGGGGCTAAGCTGCTGTCTGGCTACAAATCCGTACACAGCTGTTCTGCAGAAGTTCTGAAAGTAGTGCTGCATATTAATGCAATAAACTTCCATTTATGTTGCATCAACATATCTGTTTGAGAGTATGCACACTCGTAATAAATTATACTAGGTAGGTGACAACCTGCATTTGTGTCCATTTGTTTCTGTCCCAGCAAGGAAATAGCCTACCCCAAGAGTTCAGATTCTTGATTGCACAGACCTTGTCTGCACATTAAAATTGTATCAATTTCATTAGGCATTTACAAAGTGACTTAGGTTTATCTACACACAGAAGTTGTGCTAATATTATTTATATTGGTTTAGTCAAATTGACACGCCTATTCTTGTTTAAAGTGATGTATCCTCCTTGTATAGACACTCTGATTTCAATTTGAGTGCCTTATATCAGTTTAGTTAAGTTATACACAGAAGGAGTCTGCATCGATTTAACTAAATCAGTTTCTAAACCAATTTAGTTAATCAGTAAAATTATCTTATGTAGACAACCAGGAGAGTCCTCAACTTAAAAAAAAAAGTGAATAGTGCACTTACATGATTTGCATATAAAATTTAAATCCCTGTCAGTGACAATGGAAAACCATCCAATGTAGTTTCTCTTTCAATTTAACTACATTTTAATTCATTTTAAACTATTATAACATTGAGGATTAAAACACACCTAACCCAAGCAATTGTATATTGCTGTAAATCCTTGTCTGTCTGCTCCCCACTGTTTGTCATGCCCATTTTGTGCCCAGAAGCAGATGGACTCCTCAAATAAAAGAGGGAGAAGCAGCAGCTCAGGGGCTAGTAAGCCAAACAGCTATGATGAAGGAAGATGGCTGCTTGTTGGCCACAACTGCGAATTTGGGACTTTGGGTACAGCTACATGGGTATAAATAGCAGTGCAGGTGGTGAGGCGCTGCTTAGGTGAGTAAAGACAGAGCTGAAGCCTTAGGGCATGTACCCTACATGGCTCTTTACATACCCACATGGTACCTTCCCCATCGACACTGCTATTTTATAACTGTAGTGTCCTGCTGCCTCCCCACTGCTGGAGCCTTTCTCCCTGCCAGAATCTTTCACAGATGTATGTAGCTGCATAACACACCATGGACACAGCTTGCTTTCCACTGTGGCATGTAGCTACACACCCCGTACATGCCTCCACCAGTGGTGTGCAGTGTAGACCTAGTCTTTGGTCCCCACTAAGCCCCCACTTCGGACTAAGGTACGCAAATTCAGCTACGTTAATAACGTAGCTGAATTCGAAGTACCTTAGTCCGAACTTACCGCGGGTCCAGACGAGGCAGGAAGGCTCCCCCGTTGATGCCGCGTACTCCTCTCGGCGAGCTGGAGTACCGGCGTCGACGGCGAGCACTTCCGGGATCGATCCCAGAACATCGATTGCCTGCCGCCGGACCCTCCGGTAAGTGAAGACGTACCCCCTTGCCTTGACCCTGATGAGGGGGAACTCTGGGACTGGATTTAGAATAAAACTTAAAGAGAATGTTTTTGTTTTATATTCCTTCTTGGTTTGCCGGAGTTCCTTTCAGTGAAGGAGCACTCACCTGAAGACCATTAATAAAAATTGACTGTTTTAGTGAACTCTGTGTTTAAAATTATAAACTATCACTTTAAATTCTTCAGGGGCTTCCTGGCCCTGTTAGTGGGTTCCATAGGAAAAAGTACTATCTGTGTCTTCAGGCTTTCAGTCTGCAAAGAATCAGCCTAGAGCAAGGTGGGGTGAGTTGTTCCTTTCTGATTAAGGGAGCTGCCTGCTTCCTCTCCCTCTTGGTTTTTGGTTCTTGTGCATTAAGGTTCTGGGTTTTAAGAAGTATTACATTGCAACCTTCCAGAAAGATAAAACATAACATACTCTAACATCTCTGTTTATATGCCGTGAACATATTATTGACAAACACCCACTCCTTGCCTTTGTAATCAATATAGGATTTGAATTGATCCAGGCAACTTGACTGTCTTCTGAGCTGCTTCAACTTCTTACAAGTCTCTCTACAAGTCACAATCATATCTGCCCTTGAATCAAGCTTAAATTTAAAGTACAGTATTACTGAAATGAACAGTCTAAGATTGCTCATGAATGCTGTCAAATTTGCTCAGCACCTCAAAAGAAGCCTGTGGCACAGAGAAAGAAAAGAATGCCTGATTCAAATAATTGTTTATTCTGAACTTTTTTTTTCTCAGGAAGGGGTGGAGTTTTCTGAATGTAGCCAGAGGGATAAATCAAATTATGTAGTGAGTGACGAGGACGCTGAGGCAGTGGCAGCACCTGATATTTAAAATTGAGTAAATCACCTGTGGCACTAAGAGTTAACTAAAGTAGAGGTCCCATCATGGAATAAAGTAGGAGTTCTGTGACACCATCATACCCTTGGAAATCCTCATTTTCTCAAAACAAAACAATTTTATTTATTTCTTTTAAAAAATGTGAATAGCTCACTACATGCTCACATCTAGGGTAGGCATCTGCCCTGAATTTTGCAGAACAGTCCATAAATTCATGAGACTTTCTGACCTTTCTCTGCAATGGGACAGGCATGATCCTGGCATATCATACCAGTCAATTTTGATTTTCCCAAAACTGCATTTTCTTATGCAAAATAATTGATAGAAAATTCCTGACCAACTCTAGTTCTCAGTGTATAAGATGCTGGTGCCATTAGCCAAGTAAGGGAGTGGTTCATACAGGTGGCTTTACCTGGGATTGGCTCACTGAATAGGTGCATGTCTTTGTCCACAGTGCTCCTGAGGCAACAGCGTTGCATAATATTGCCTGCAAACTAGGCTGCTGCTGTGGCGAAACAGGAACATTATAAGCACGAATGAAAGATCTGGTTTGGGGTGTTTACCTATGATGACCTTCCTTGGGCAGAGTTACTTGTAAACATGTGTGTTTGTAATAATGAAATCACTTCCAATGTCCATCTGGGGCCCGGGGGCACAGAAGTGACCATAGGCTTTGGCCCATACCCTTGATGATATTTATCTGTATCTAAATACCTTTGAGGATCTGGGCTCTTGCGCCTAACGAGCCAGCAGCATAACCTACAGAAGGGGGGCAGCACATGAGCTCATGAATTCAAAAACCTGAATGCTGTATCATTGCCAGAGGGACCATGTTCCCGGAGAGACCCTTATAGATGGCACAGCCCTGGTGAGGGGAACATAGGGAGTTAGGCAGGAAGCAACTCAGCCAGGTGGATAGAGCAGTCCACAGGGTTTAATAAAGTTCCACTTGTTCAATTTCACCTGCATTCAGCTTCACTAATTTAGACTCATGAGATTAAACCACCACATCAGATTAGGTTTCTGTGTGCTTTCTGCTGTTGATCTTTAGTTAGAAGCCTCTCCACAAATGTGTGTGTGCATTTTCCATTGCAAATCTAACCTGCCACTCACACAGCCAAAGGCTGCTAGCCAGGTAGGGGATTCGGCAGTTCCACTCCAGCAGAAAGAAGGGGGCAGCTCTCCGTTTTCCTTTTCTAGCCTGCACCTCCCTTCAGCTTCCTGAGCCCTTTCCCCTCCTCACCTCACAAGAGCCTCAGGGAGAACAAAAGGCAGGAAAAAAACACTACTAGAGGATAAGGGGGGTAGAAATCTTAACAGAGGGCACCTTAGCTTCAAATCTATTGACAGTAATAGATGGCAGCCTTTACTAGCCTCGCTTCTGAGAGGACCTAGGGAACTGGTAGCCATTTTAACTAAGGGAGCCTTCTTCCTTCAAATCCATTCAAAGACAGGAAAACAGTAGGTCTTTTTACTAAGGGCAAACATGCCTGATAATTGCTGCTCATGTGATCACCAGCCTTTTACACTAGAGCAGGGGTCTCCAAACTCTGAGAGACTAGGGCCATATTAGATTTTTGAAGGGGCTTTGCAAGCCAAAGTGACTGTGAAAAAAATTAAATATATGCAAAATCATTAGAAAACCAGCACTATTCTCCTGCATCAGTGTTGCATTAAATTCTAAATCAGGTGTAAAAGTTAATTGATGCAGGTACTGTGAAATCACACAAAATATTTGTCAATACATTAAAAATCATTTCATATTTATTTTATTTCTAAAAACTCACACATTTGTATCATACAAATACTGTTTGGTTCTATTAGTGCTGTAGTTAAAATTTAACCATTATGAAATTGTTAATTTCCATCTTCTTTACTCTATTTATTGGAGATGTAATAAGTATCTGGCTTGTATTTTTACTCCTAAGGCAGGTGTCCATGCCTACTCGGCTGCAGCAATGACTCTCCCCTAAGTTGGCTCCCCTTCTGGGGGGGGAGAGGGACACTGGCTCCCAGAGGCACTTATCCCTCTGCACAGCTCAGCTGAGCTATCCCCCCCCCCCCCCCACGGGCGCACGCGCACACACACCCACCCCCAAGTTACTGGGCATGCTCAGTTCGGGTGAGCATGCACAGTACACCCAACGTAGGGAAAGGGGAAGTAGGGTTTGTTTGCGTCGCGACACCTGACGCCTCTTCCCCTGTCTGCAGCCTGCCTATTTGCTTCTCCCTGTACCTGCTTTGCTGAAGCAACGACTCTCCCCTAAGTTTGCTCCTCTTTTGGGGGGGGGACACTGGCTCCCAGAGGCACTCACCCCTCTGCCCAGCTCAGCTGTGCGAGCTACTGCCGGTGGCCCCTTCCCTTGCCTACTCAGCTGTTCGCTTCTCCCCTGTTGGCTGGACAAATGGCAGCTCCTGTTTGGAGACTCCTGAACTAGAGCCATCTTATGTGGAAGTAAGACTGAACATTTGGAGACCGGAGGCTGTTGATCCTGTTCCCCCCTTAAGATTTCCTACTCATTAGTGAAGCCTGCAAGAACAACCACCTGTGAGTAACGCTACCCTATAACAAAAAAACCAGCCTGCAACGGCGCGAATGAATGCATCCCTCCTCCTGCAGCAGCAGCTGCTCTTTGCTTTTTCTGCTTCCTCTGCTGCTCGTGCTGATTTAGTACACAGGGAGAGTCTCAGGAATTTCTGGGAACTGTCGCTTGTCTGCAGGTGCTGGTGGGGAATTATGAATGAGGGAGACATTTAAGCTCTTGTAATTGAAAATCGTGTAGCAAAATCCTTTGTCCCCAGGAGGAGTGTGTGAAGACTGAGTTCTGAAATCCGTCCCTCTCCCAAAGAGCAGGGGAACAAATCTGCATTTCTAATGTGGTAGAAATTCCTGTCTGTTCCAGCTGAGGAATAAGGAGAGAGAGACACAGCTAATCAAGCAAGGAGCCCCGGGAGGGGCGATCCATTTATTTCAATTGCAATTGGGTTTGAGCTCGTAAGTCAGAAAGAGCAAAGAAAACACTTACACCAAAGCATTATATGCAGTTGACTATGATAATCTATCACTCAAAATTTGCTATTGTTACCATACGTAATTAGCAAGTTACATGTATCTGCCCCTCTTATGAGGCCTTATTGTTCATCTACTTGTCCCCCCTCCCCCCACGTTATTTTACGAACCAAGCAGTTAGTTATCTACAGGACGCGGACACAGAAAGTTCCATTGTCTCCAGGTTTGGAGTTTGGCTACATTTCCTCTTGAAGGAACTTCCTGAGTTAAGGCATAGCTGACACTGCATATCTCCCTTCTACTTTCTCCCATGTGTACATGACAAATTTGCCCCCTGGCAGTTAAGTAGAATAATCTTATTTCACTAAGCTGTATCATTTTATGCTAAAAGAGGTGTATTCCCCCCCTTTATTTAATCTCGGTAGTGGTCAATACCACAAATCTAATCTATTGAGAGGGTTCAGGATTAGGGGGTATAATGGTTTGATCTGCAAGAGTTGGGGATGGGTTAACTCCTTACCAGTTGCAAAGTTATGAATGAGTTACACAGGTCACCCTAAAACAGTGCCAATTAAAATTGTCACATGACACCATCTATATTATCTTTGTGTCTGTAAAAACAGAAACTGGTTTTAGAGCATTTTTTTTAAAACCCATACTATTTTGTATCCCTCCTCTAGTAAAGCCAGACTCCCTTCGAACTATGGGACTCTCCCTGACAAAGAGGAAAGTATTGTTTGTTTATGTAGGGCAGCATTTAGATTGTTAAATACCTCAGCTTAAAAGTTGCGTACCTTAGTGCCTTTCAGAGCTATAATCAAGTAAGTGTGTGCCCCATTTTTAGACTGTAACCCTTTTGCAGTAGGGACTGTGCCTCCCTATGTATGTGTACAATGCCTAGCACCTTTAGTGTGCTATTGTAAATAATACTGGTAATATGGTATAAAACCCCCTTTCTAAAAGCCTGTGGCTTATAAAGATTGAGCCTCTAAACTGGTCAAATGTCCAGGACTAAATAATGCCAGTCATATACCTCAGAGTAAACATTTGGGAAGGTAAAGAATAAAATGGGGTTAGTTTGTTTTTTGGCATCAGGCTATTTTTTTTAATGGTGACTGTTCTGAGGCTTGTAATGTTTGAAGCAGTCCCAGGAGAAGATGAAGGCAGAATCCAGACTATAACCATTGCATGATAAATGTAATTTACCATGTCACATGGTTCAGTTTACCACCTATCTGTGAAAAGATGTATTATATCCAAGCCTATTCCTCCCATTGGCATGTGTCATCTTCTTAATAATAAGTGAGTCCTAATATACTAATTTCATGTGGTGAAATGCCTCATGAGTCCTAGAAGTAAGATAGAAATGGAGGAAAAGCAAAGGAGAAATGACCATAAAGACAAAGAAATCTTTGTTCTCACCAGAGTTGGGTGTGTGTGTGTAAATTTTTTAATGTGATGCATTTAGGTGAGTGAAAAATGTACTTGTTTGGATGCTGGCCTCTCAAGATGCCTTATTTCTCATTCTTTACAGAGAGGCAAACCAATTAATGTTCCTTTCTATACAGTCAAAGATAAAAATTAAACTGTTCATTATCAGCTTTTAGCATCTTGTTTTACAGAGTACAACGTTTGCACTTACTTTGTAAGTGGTCAAAGGTTTGAAATCCAGGCAAAAGCATCAGTTAAGTTTTAAACTAAGGCCAGATCTTGCTTAACATGTCAGGTGAGTAGCTTTAACTCACTTATGCAAACAAGTTGATTAAAGTGAAGGATAAGGGGGGGGGAGGGATAGCTCAGTGATTTGAGCATTGGCCTGTTAAACCTGGGTTATGAGTTCAATCCTTGAGGGGGCCACTTAGGGATCTGGGGCAAAATCAGTACTCAGTCCTGCTAGTGAAAGCAGGGGGCTGGACTCAATGACCTCCTGAGGTCCCTTCCAACCCTGATATTCTATGATAAGGATTATTCACCTGACATGAAGGAAGGGTTAGCAGGAACAAGCCTCAAATTTTAATTTCCTCATAATTTGTTATAGAAGAATTATTTCTCCCCATGTAAGTGAAACTTCTTAAAACAGATTGAGGGAGACAAGTGCAATAGCTTGTAGATGTAGATATATAGTGTGCAAACTTCTTTTTAAAAGCTTGTCAAAGTTAGGATTCATTTAAAAAAATTACAACCCCCACTGAAGTGAATGAAGGTCACCTGCATATATCTTAAGACCAAATTCTGCCATCAGCGTATAAAAAGAGCAACTTGAAACCAAAACCATTTCAGGTGCAGAATTGTCATGACCTCATTTTTTTTTCCTTTTTTCACCTAACCATATGATTCAATCAGTTTGTAGCTGCTGTTTCTGGGCTCTAGTTACTTACTAAATATACAGTCATAATGCAGAAAGAGAATTTACAGACAAAAGTATTTAAGTATGATAATGTTTCTCCTGAGAGGTGTTTTTCTCTTTTGCCTTTATTCAGTATAATTCTACTTCTCATTTGTCGAGCTCCTATTTATTTTCTCAGAGTATAAAATCTGTGCCTATCACAGTATCTCAAGCTATATGAATAATATAATTGAAAATACATATGAAATAACTATTCAAGCCAAATTCTCTTTCCCCATGAGATATGAAGGGTCGGTCCTGCATCTACTAAAGTCACATGCAGAACTTCCATTGACTATAGTGGCAGTAAGAATGGACCTTTAAAAACCCACCTTCCTCAACCCATCCCTCAGGAAAAAGCTGAGTAACTAGATTGTCTTTGCAATATGCCGTGAAGGTCAACATACTTATGCCCTGTCAGCACTTGAGGTGAATTACAGAATCAGGAAGCCTGTATTGAGAATGTTCAGTCTCCTGAAAAATAAACCTAGTGAATATCACACTGAGCACTGTAGTGGATTTCATCTGTGGGGCTGGTACATGAAGAAGGGAGCAATCGCTAAAGCTGCTTGCCTTGCGTGTGTTTTAGGAAAATAAGTTCTGAATAACCTGTTTCTACATCTGTAATTGGCAAGGATTTGGCAGCATGAAGCCTGTTATTGTTGTTCATGGTGGAGCTGGCCGCATCTTTAAAGATCGGGAAGAAGGAGCTCGTTCAGGTGTTACCAGAGCAGCACTGAAAGGTTACAGTATCCTTAAAGAAGGAGGCAATGCATTAGATGCAGTTGAAGAAGCAGTGACATCAATGGAAGATGATCCACATTTTAATGCAGGTAATTTTTCAAGCATATAACCATAGAATGAAATCTGTCTATGTAGACCACATTATTATCCTTGTGTATTTTGCTGTGTTGGTTGTTGGTTTGGGGGGAGGGGGAATTTTTCAGTGTGATGCATTTAGTTGAGCACCGACTGCACTAGTTTGGATGCTGGCCTCATTTCTCATTGTAAGTAAAGAGCATGTAGATTCACAAAAGGAGAAGAGTTTCTATTTTTGGTCTCAAGTTTTTTTAAACCTGCAGCTTTGTTCTTGCGCTGCAGTGTTGTTCTTCTGCAGAAGTTCCTTCATTTTTGTACTATGAGTTTAATAAGAGACCCACACCCTCAAGAGTGAATTATACCTGCATTATAACCCTGGCATTTCCATTTAAATCACCTGAATGCAACTATAGGCAAAACTTGGACCTCAATCTTTTTGTCAGTGCTTGGCCTATAGCTACTGCCTGAGTGGGATTGTTCTTTTCAGAGTACCAGTGCTGTTAAGACAGTAGATAATTTGTGAATGCTTACGAGTACGCTCATTGCTAAGAACACCAGTTATGAGCCCCTATCTTCAATGATGCAGTCTAATATTTTCTCCTTCACACCAACCTCATTTTATCATCTTGCTTAAAGTGAGTAGAAAATAGTGCTCCTTTTGTGCTCCCACTCAATATGTCAGGAATGGAGCTGAAGACAAAGGCCTGCATTTGTTTAGTGCTTTATGTAGAAGCGCTTGTTTTCAGCATGGCCACCAAGTTCAGAGAGTATCATATGGCCATCTCCGCCCTGAAAAGCCATTTCACTTGGTGTTAGAATTATATTGTTCTGTGACTGACTTGGGTAGAAAACACTGCTGGTGACAAGCCTTTCTGAGTTAGCAAAATGGAAACAGAAACATGAGGCAAACATGGTACGCACGGTGGGATTGTTATATAACCAGCCCTAGATTTGTTTTCTACTTAAGCTCGCACTTTTCTTTGTCTGTCCATGAGAGCCGTCTTCATTCTCTTTCCCACAACCTTTGGAGATTTGATTTGCTCATGTTAATGGATCAGTATGTGAACTTTGTTTTCAGCATTTTATTTATTTTAATGCTTCAGTACTGTAAAGCTTTACTTCGTATGTGTCGGACAAGCACTCCTCTAGCCAGACATTGCCTTTTTGCCATACAAGACATCAGCTAGGTCTGCCCAGGCAAATCCCTGATCCCTTGAGGGGTCCTGTGCCAACTTTATTGCAGGTCCACTTGATCTTAGGTCTTCATCTGCCTGCAGGGAGCCAATCACAAGATCTGGGCCTACATTTAAACTTAACACTATGTGTGATGATGAAAAACAAAGGACGGGGGAAAGGGAAGAATTACAACCAAAAGATCATGTGGTCTCTTGATTTGTTATGCACAAGTATAGATGGTTCTACAAATACACATGTGAATATGTATTTTTAATCTTTATTCCGACAGAGCATCTATTTGAAGCCAATGGAGCTTCTTGGATGAGTAAAGTTTACTTGTGTGTGGCGTTTTTTGTAGTATATCTGGGTGCCATTGAGATTTTTTTTTTTTTTTTTAATTTAAAAGGCTGAAAACCTGGCTGACTACAATGGCCACTGAAATAATATAATTTGTAATTCCCAAAAGCTGACCCAAGGCTCTCCATAGCCCTTTATACAGTATCTTGTGACTCCTGGGATTACTATTCTTGAGTCCTACTGGGATGGAGGGGGAGGGAGTACAAAAAATAAATTGGCTAGGGAAAGGTAGGTATACCATTCTTTTGCCACCACCACATATGTACCTAGCTTTTCCATCTGGGGATATTTTCATTCCCCTTCACTTTATCATTATTCCTTGTCCAAGTTGTCGATCTTGTAGACATCAAGCTCAGACACATAATAACCGATATTTTAAAGTTACGTATTTCTCTCTAGGGCAAGAAAAGTGATCATCTGCAAAACACTGCCCTAAATGGGAAGTCTTGCCCTGTTTTCTAGAATACAAGACTTGAGGTTCTTAGTCATGTCCTTTCTGACAGAGCACTGTAAGAATTTACTACCCCAATATCAACCAACTAATCCATTAAAATGGAGTGGCTGTACCACATGACAAATAATCTGTTGGTGAAATTTTCCTTCTCTTTCACTGGTGTTACTTCATTAGCTTCACTGCATTGAACCCTTTGGCTTCAGTGGACCAGTGTAACTGAGAGGGGAATTTAGCCCCATGTGTTTAAACTGTTATTTCTGCTGATTTAATGACTGGGAGTAACTGCTCAGAATTTATCAAACTATTGCAAATGGCTGATAAAACTTCAGATTATCCTCTACCAAAAAGATTGTCAACAATTTTAACATTTAACTAGCATGTAAAGCAAAGTACATGTATATGGCTTCCCTTTTCCTGGACTGAGTCTTGTGGCTACCTTTTGTTATAAATGAGCAAATCAGGATATTTTAAGCCTGAAATAGATTGTTTTGCTTAAATAATGTTTACTCAAATTTATTCTTTGCTCAGATAACTGTATTTCATGCTCTGTTTATAATGTACTTCACACACTAAATGACAACTGACTTTTAACAAAAAATTGCTAAGGTTGTGCGCCTGAGCTTTCAGCTGAAATAGTTTTGCAGCCCACTTATTAAAGTTTGGCTTCCCTAATGCACATGGTAAGTAGTTGTAATCACTTGTATATACAGCTACGTGTGTTAAAGCTCATTGAGAACAGCTGTATTTAATGAGCAGGAGAAAATGAGCTGAAAGCTATGTGAAGAGAGGCCTGATTGGAGTGGCTGTTTAAAACCCACCATGTGGTGTTTATCTCCATAAAGGAGAAAGCCGTTTTATTGTGTAATGTTTACTGGAAAACACCAGCATTGCTAAGAGACAAGCAGGGTGGTGAAGGGGAAATAGGGATAAGGACCAAGTGATGCAGGTCTCTTCTCAAATAACAGGGTTCAGTTGGGCTGTGTGTTGTGAATGATGCGAGTCTCCCAGCCCTTGCAGGCATTCAGGAGGCACAGTGTCTTCCAGATCTAAGTGCATGCACAGAGCATGCAGCATATACTCCCTTTAGAAGCTGGTTAGCTCCACTGGCTGAGGTGAGAAGGGGCCATGGTCACATCTCCTTCCCACCCCCTCTGTGGGGGCTAACAGTGCTAGTTTACACTCTGTATGGAATGGAATTCTAAACTGTATTATACTGTTCAGCCACAAGGTGGTGGTCTGTGTAACATAACAAGTTCACACCAGCTATTCCTGGTAGTTATTAAAGTGTCTTACATCTCTGGTGTATCTCTCTGGAATAGCTCTGCAGCCGGTCCATATCTGATACAGAAGCCTGACCTGCTAGTAGCAACCCCGAACCTACTATGTACAAGATGTACAAGGACTACAGCTCCTATGTAAGGCGTATAAGGCTCTTTATGCTCTCTTCTCCCTTGCAGGCCCAGCTACACTGTGGTCCATAGATAGTAGGGAGGGTGGAGAAACAGGCTCTAGTGAGAGCAGACAAAGGCGCGCACAGACTCCCTCACATCTGCTAGATAAGTGCAATACCCTACAACCCCTACTACAGTTTGGAAGAGGTCAAACCCACTGTGTTTTCCTTGGCTCTTGCTTCCTGCCCTTGATTCAGAGCTAGGCTAAATGACCCATATTTTTGTGAAGTGCTGCTGCAAATGTAGTGGCTTGTGATTAGTTATGCCCATCTCAATGCACAGCAGCTGTCATGTTTGAACACCCTGGGTTTGAAACACCTGCATGAACTGGACTTCCTAGGCATGTGAGGTAGGAACAGATATGTGACCCAGCTGGGAGATGGCAGCCAGTGGTAGTCACAGACTGCTAACTTACTGACCTGAATAGTGCAGGAGCAGCTGTAGGGTTGCCAACTCTGACTGAAGCTATTCCAGGAGATTTTTTTCCCACTCAACATGACTTAATGTTTTCTTAAAATATCCTATTAAAATCTCCCAGATTGCTTTCAATAGTCACCAGGAGATCAGTGCTGATTCCAGAAGACTCCAGGCCAATCGGGAGAGTTGGCAACCCTAAATTGTGGATGAATTCAAACTATGGGGGAAAGGAGAGCTGTGCTTTTAGTAGAAAGTGGGGAGTTGAGTTCACCAATACTTCATCCCCTGTACACCAGCACATACATAATTTTACTCAGGTGAATAATCTCACAGAAGTCAGTGTCACCAGGTTGGTAATATTTTGGCCTAAGAGTCTGTCAGATTGTTAAACCAATATTAAAGAAGGATGGTGTAGAGGAGCAGACGCACCCCTGCAGCACCTCCTGCTGGTCATCCATGGGAATTAGCTCTGCCCGTGTTGGAGCTGCCTCTGCAGGCCAGTGATCCACCTGCCTCTTGGCCCCCATGTCCCTCCCAGACCCAGTGCCCCTTTATCTGGGGGCTGCCCCCAGGCAGTAACCCCTTTCTCTTTGGGTCTCCCCTCCCCAGGGAACCCCCCACCCACTAACCCCACCTCATCATAAGGCTACTGCCAGTCACCATCTAGCCCCACTCCCTGGGGCAGACTGCAGTATAAGCCACTTGTCATAAGCAAGCTTGGGTCTGGACCTGCTGCCCCTCTCTAGGGCCTTGGACAAGTTGCCAGCCTGGAGCTCCCCAGCCTTGTCTCACTCTAGGCACCCTGAGCTTCCCAGCAGCCAGGCCCTTCTCTCTCTGAAGGCAGAGAGAGACTGCTGAGCTTCTGGCTTCCAGCCTTTTATATAGGACCAGCTGAGGCCTGATTGGGGCGTGGCCCAGCTGCAGTTGCTTCCCCAATCAGCCTAGTAGCTGCTTCCCCCTGCAACAGCCCTCTACCAAGGCTGATTTAAGCCCTTCAGGGCAGGAGCAGATGACCATCCCGCTACAGATGGAAACTGGTGTTTACTAACAGGAAAATACCTTTTCACAGTTTAAGCACAGCTAAAGCACCAATCCTGTTAACAACATACTGAAAGTGTTTCTAGTAGGAGCTTGCCTTCAAATGGAGTTGTACTTTTCTCCCCACTGTTTGCAAGACTTATACATGTGTTGATTTCAGTGATGATTGATTACTAACCAGCACCCACAATAAAATATTCCAGTTACTAGAGAGCTTTTTGCAGTACCACCCTGCACACAGTACATGTCATTGTTAAAGGAAGGTTTCGCTACAGAATTGACATAAATATTTGCAAAAACTATTCGAATAACTGCTTAGATTTTCACAGCATTTTATCTTGGTGTTTTACTTAACTCCTTCATTTATTTTTGCTAACAATAAATATTTCACCATATTTCAGACTTTTGGTGAATGAAAAATATATTTTTTCACTCTTGCTAGAATTTTGCATTTGTGCCATTGCATCAAATCCAACAGTGGTTGAAATCTTGTTGTTTGGCCTGACAAGATACTGTGGGCCGTCATCTCTGATTGATCTCAGCACCTCAAAGGATTAGACTATGGGTACGTTTACACTACCCACCGGACCAGTGGGTAGTGATCGATCTATTGGGGGTCGATTTTTATCGCGTCTACGATCCCCGATCGCTCTGCCATCGACTCTGGAACTCCACTGTGGCGAGAGGCGGAAGCGGAGTCGATGGGGGAGCGGCAGTGGTCAACTCACCGCTGTCCTCACAGCCAGGTAAATCGACCTAAGATATGCCGACTTCAGCTACACTATTCACGTAGCTGAAGCTGCATATCTTAGGTCGACCCGCCCCCCCCCTCCCCTAATGTAGACCTAGCCTCAGGTATTCAGATAGGTTGCATTGCATCTATTGTTGGAGGAATGTGGAGGTAAAATAGTTTTATGTGTGTAAAAAGTGATATTGGGGTAGAAACAGTCTCATTTATAGTTGTTTATAACTCTGCCCTTCACACCTAATGTGACTTAGGTACCATTAAAATTCAATTATATTAAGTTCCATATAGTGTCCTATTAATTATTTCTGTTTGAACAGGAATGTTTCTCTTCAAAACCTGTTTGGCATTTAGGAGGCTTAAAACAAGCAGATACACAAACTGGAAAAAAGGTTTGCCTAATAAAAGCTAATAAAACTGAATCACCCCATGTTTAGCTCTTAATGTCTTTTTTCCCCCCCTTTTGGTCTCTAGGCTATGGATCTGTTTTAAATGAGAAGGGTGAAGTAGAAATGGATGCCATTATCATGGATGGAAAAAATCTAGCCTCAGGAGCAGTATCTGCAGTTAAATGTATAGCTAACCCAATAAAGCTTGCTCGTCTTGTCATGGAAAAGGTATGCTGAATGTGCACTTGAATAAGAAACATTCTTTATTTTAGGATTTCATTGTATGTATTGATACACCTCACTGACTATGATGTTTGTGTAGTATTTTAAATCAGGGAAGGAGGAAGAAATCAGTGGTACTGGTAGAGACCATGGGCTTGAATATAAAGAGGCAAGACTATTTTTATTTTCAGATTTTCAAATTAGTTGAAGTGCTAATTTTATTCAACTCTTAAAAGGGTGTTGCATATACTTGCAAACTTGAGGAGAAATTGATATACGTAATTTACTTTGCCAATTGTTTTCACTTTTTTCTGAGCTAAATACTGTAGATATTTGTTTTAATAAGAGCAGTGTCTCTCACAGCCCTCCTGCCTGATCCTGCAGGACAATGTACTGGAGATTGTCCCCTACAGACAATCATACAAAGTCAGGCGATAGAAGTAAGGCTACGTCTACACTATGGGGGGGGGGATTGATTTCAGATACTCAAATTCAACTACGGCAATAGCGTAGCTGAATTCGACGCATCTGATCCGACTTACCCCTCTGTGAGGACGGCGGCAAATCGACTGCCGCGGCTCCCCCGTCAACGGCGCTTACTCCTACCTGGGCTGGTGGAGTACGCGCGTCGATTCGGGGATCGATTATCGCGTCCCGACGAGACACGATAAATCGATCCCCGAGAGATCGATTTCTACCCGCCGATCCGGGTAGTGAAGACAAGCCCTAAATGACACAATAGTGACTCTATTAGATGGTTTAATAGATTACACTAGATGACCTTTCCACTTCTACTTTAAGATTTTGTGAAATAATCAGATGATTGATCTGGAAAGACTAGTGATGTCACAGACTAGCACTGCAACTTTGCACTAGGAGCAGATAGCAGTAAAAGCTGCAACTTGTGGTAACTGAACTTGTTTGAACACAAATAATGTATCACTATATGTGGCAAATGAAATCATGAGCATCTAGACTTGACTACATGTTAACTGTTACATGTCATTTTTCTCCAGTAACAAGTGCGTCTTAATGGGTATCTACATGAGGAAATTACTTGCCTGTTTTTCAGCAATGGCGTAGCCACAGTGTTGCAACCAATGGGGAAGCTCTAGAGTACACAGGGTATCACTGTTTTTTAACCACAATGAGGATTATATGACACGGTGATTAAAAGTGCTAGCAATCCTGTCTAAACTAGAATTTACACTATTGATAGTAGCAGTGCAGCTCCACTATAGCTGAACAAGGGTAAGAAATATTTTCATGTAGACCAGGCCTAAGTGGGTTTATTTTTCATGTTTCTTCTACTTCAGTCTCCTGGCTACTTTAAAGGTGACTTACAAAGGAAGAGTACAAACATTTCCCCTCCTTTCATGATCTATAAAAGCCTGAATATGTGGGATTTTAAAGGTATTTGTTTCTCTTCTTATAACCTCGTATGATCAAAAATATTAAGACTTGTTCTGAAAGGCTTCTTGAAGGACTAAAGAACTGGAGTTGAGCAATCTTAGCCCTTAATAGAAGAATAGGGAGTTTGAATCTCTAACAAAGAGAGCTTTCCACCAAAATGTTTGTCATCAAAACACTGGGTTAAACAAATGTAAAAAAAAAATTCTAGATTGGTTTTCTTTAAGGATTCTGACAAAAAATCCCTTTTTCACTCAGTTACTAAGGTTTCATTCACCTGTGATGTTTCTCTCATTAATTCAACAGATGTTCATAGAGTCATCCAGGCAAAACCAGGGTAGACAAGGCCTAACATTTCTAATGTAAAAATAAGCCTGAGAGGAATATTTCCAGGTCTTTCTCAAAATTCTAAGACACAGATTTTTTTTTTTTTAACTGGCTACCTTTAATAACCTTTGGCAATTCATGTTTCAAAGGATAGAAGTTCTGATTTGGCTATTGTCTTTAAATGGTAAAACCACCTTTTGACTTGAGTGGGAGCAGAATTAGGCTAACAGTAAGCACTCTTGAAAAAGTCATCTCAGGTGACAGAACTAGGACTCTGGAGACCCACGTTCTGGTTCCAGCTCTGCCACTGACTTACCAGGTGACCTTGGACAGATCACTTCCCTACTCTGTGCCTCAGTTTCTTCATCTGTAAAATGGGGATAATAATACTGACCCCCCCCCCCCCCCCGTAAAGTGTTTTGAGAGCTACTGATGAAAAGTGCTTTTCAAGAGCTGTATGGTATTATTATTTACTTGCCTCTCTCTTTCCCTACAATCATGGTGAAGTCTTTGTACAGTGGCAGGTAACATTTTTTGGTAGTCAAAAATATCGAGGCTAGATTTTTAAGTCAAGTAATAGAATGCTACTATACAGGAACAGATTGCTTGTATTAATCTGACAGAACCAAGCAATGAGATTTTATTTTCTGGTAAAATTTACTCCTTTCTTCAAAGCTCTAGTAACCAGGCTTCACACAGAAGTCCAAGTGGGTGGTGGGGATGTAATTGATATATCCTCAGCCAGCAGGGGAATTCACCTTTTCCCATCCACTGGCTAGAATTCTAGTCTATTAACCAGCTGTTGCCCTTCTGCTCGCTGTAGACAGAAATTTTGGGCCAGCAGCATATGTGCAGACCTCATCTCTGCGGTGCACAGAAGGTGCAGAGGCCTCCAGCTTGGCTGCTCCAACCATAGTTCCCTTCCTGCACAACCTTACAAAATGGCTGAGCTAGGCCTTGTAGCAGTCCTCTGCACCCAAGTGTGACTTTGTCTTTGTACAGCCCTAGCTACTCTTAACATCATGCACATTATTTTAAAGAGTACCGTATTTATGGAAGGTAAGAAAAAAAATTAGTTGCTAATAAATTGAATGGAGGTCTAATATTTGCAGATTACAAAGCTTTTTTGTATGCACTAGGAACAATTTTTGAACTCCATAACACATGGAAGATGAAGGCTAGGATTTTTAAAGGATCCTAAGAGTATTAGGTGCCCAGATCCCCTTGGATTTCAATGGAAATCAGGTGCCTAACTCCCTTAAATTCCTTTGAAAAACAGCCATAATGATGATGATAAAAGCTGTTTTGTAATTATCAGTATTTCAGTTCTGCCTGTGGAACAATATGGGCTCCATCTGGTGGCCAAAACAACTCCTTTAAATCCTGCAACACCCATTGGTATCCTAGTTTTCTGTAACTCAAGCTCTCAGTTGGGCCAAACTTAGCCAAACGAAAATGAGAGTACCAAAATAACTTTAACTGATGACTTACCATAAGACAGAATTGAGAAGTGTCTAGAGGTGAAAGCCTTAGTAGGTTAATGTACTGAGCCAACAGTTCTGTTACATTATTATTTGCAATGAACAGAAATAGAAAACTGATGTATAGGGTATATGTGTGTGAAAATAGCCATCCAAAAATGAAAGAATTATTAGGCATTTTCAAAGAACTCAAAAAGGCAAAGATTGTATGATGATTGGAACACTGGTTTACTTGGTTTTTCTGTGCAATGAATGAGTTATGTGAATAAATTTCAACTACAGTACAACCCACCTCCCTAAATTAGGCCCCAAAGATTTTAATACAGAATATAAGCTCCTTAATGCAGGCGGTAGTATCTTTGCTGTGTTCTGTATTGTGCCAGGGTCTTGAATAAACACATGGCAATCTTTGGCAGCCAGCCTTGAATTCAGACTAAGTCTTTTAAACTGGCACCCATGACCATTTGTTGTTTGCCACCCTAGCCCTGGGACCTTTCTTGTTCACTTTGGAAACTCTTGTTTGTCTATATATTATTTATATTCCACTAACTGCCAATAACTGCAATATTGTTAATTTAATAAACATATTCAAGAGGCCATGGAAAAAATAGATGGGGGGAGAAGTGAGTATCGTATCTACCTCTCTAGAGGGCGGGGAAGTCCATTTTTCAATATTCCAGCTGTTTTTTCTGCTCTAGGCTATGCAATAAGATTGTTAAATAAACAAACCTTTTAGAAAAGTGCTATAGAATAAACACTGAGGACCCATCCTATATTCTTTCCTAGTAAGAGCTAGCTTAAAGGAATGGGCCTCTGTGACACTCCTCTGTTGACAAAGATTCCCTGTTCAGAACCTATTCTAAGGTGTGAAGGCATCACCAGAGCATGCATGCTGGGAACACCTGAGAGCTGCTTTGCTAAACAAACTTTTAAAAATTAAATAACCTAATAGGGCATATAAAATGAAAAGTTGTTTGTTTAGACATGTAATGGCTTCGAGAATTTATGTTCACTTTTAAAATAAATACAATGAAGAGGTTTCCATTGCCCATCTGCCTTTTGTTGGGGGGAGGCAGAAGAGAGCAGGTGTTGGAGGTAGACTTCTTAAAATTTGCTTTGAAATGTATGTATTTAAGTGTCTCTCTTCCCACTTTAATTCTCAGAGGTTTTGAATCATAGGTTGCTAGTGGGTTAGTTACAAAGGCATAGGGGAGCAGTATTGCACAAAGGAAGTTTTGTTCAGCAAAGTACAAGATCATTTCAGCTTTGTCTGAATACACTGTCTTTCTTCTTCTCCCTGACAAATATTAATAGGCTCACAGTACAGGTATGTCTTCTATTGTTTGGTAACATCACTCCGTATAAAAGACTGTGTTGTCCATTGTTACGAAGACACAGACTCCTGTCTCATGCCTCCACTTCTACAGTGAAAGTTGTTCCATGTCTGTGTTCTCATGAATAAGGACTTAGTCTGACAATAAAAAAAAACGTAAAAAGTGTTTGACAGTGAGGGTGTATTTATCTGGCAATTAAACACCTTGGCTGGCCTCAGTCAACTGACTCAGGCTCGCAAGGTTCAGTATGTGGGGCTTCAAAATGGCTGTATCAACATTCAGGATCAGGCTGGAACCTGGGTTCTGTAACTCTCCCTTCTCACGGAGCCTGGGCTCCAGCCTGAGTGTGAATGCCTACACAGCCATTTTACAACCCTGAGTCCTGTGAGCCTGAGTCAGCTGACACGGGCCGGCGGCAGTCATGCTGCAGGTCTTTTATTCCAGTGCAGATGTATCTTAAGATCATGATCTTGCAAATGCCTATGCACGCAAGCAATGCATTCAGTGGGGCTAATCACGTGAGTAAAGGTACTCAACACACCCTGTGATAGACCCCAGGCAATTTAAAGTCAGGTTGCCTATGTGTTCTTAGGTCTCTAGTTTGCTGCGTAGTAACAGTGAAGCATTGTGTCCTGGCATCTGTGTCAGGGTGGAGGGTTTTTTTGTTTTGTTTTTTTATGTCATGTCACAACTTTAAAAGTCAGTGGGAGTTGATGGCACTCAGCATTCTCGTAGGATCAGACTCTTAGCGTCAAATTCTCCCTTCTACAACACTGCCCCGACCCAGCCAACCTGCTCAGGATAGGCACCAGTTAAAGGATTTGGATCTTAATGTTTTTAAATGCACTTCTTGTTTTAAAATTTTATTTTCTCATTCTGTCAGAAAGTTATAAAGCTCCTAGTAAAGCAGAATGACAGAAGTGCTACTTTGAGTAAATTCATTTTGGGGAATAGAAGGGGTTCAGAAGTTTGAGGACATTCATTCAGGCCTTGATTCAGCAGAGCTCATAAGCATGTACTTAACGTTAAGTACATTTTCTTAAGTCCCATTGGCTTCAGTATGACCTAAATTTGTGCGTAAGTGCTTTGCTGAATCAGGGCCTTACTACAGTAAGAAGTGGACCCTCACCAAACTGATTGACTTCATGTGACAATTGATTCAGGTACTGTACGGGAATGGTATTTGCATACATAAGGACAGGAGCTGGACCTAAATAGGTGAGTAAATATTTTGGTGGTGGGTTAACATCAATTTAGTCATTTTAGACGTTAAGAAAAATGTATGTTAGTGTGTGATAAGATTAGGATTATTATTTTACTATTTACAAGGAATAACAACGTTTGAACAAAGGATAATTTTTTCTGTCACCACTGAGCATATTTCTCTTAAAATAAAAATAGTTCTTTAGGTCATTCAGTGACCTGGTCAAACCAATCATGTAGATAAACAAAATACCAATGATTGATTGGAAGAGATTGCAAAACCAGTTCTATAAAGGATTGCAATAACCGTATCCTATCTAGTTTCAGAAAAAAATATAGTATGAGTGAATTCTATTTTTCTCATCTAATGAGTATTGAATATTTGAAGGCAATTATATTCTGTTAATCCTAATTATTTTGTTTTGGATTTTTTTGCATTATTGAATCCAAAATCCTCCTGTTCCATCAAAAAAGTAACATAGGAATCCAAACATACTCCTACTTAAGTCAGTGGGAGCAGGATTGGGGCCACAATTTTGCCTTTTATTGGTTTCCAAGAAGTTTAAAACAAAAATGTCTTTGAATATATTTTTAAAAACAATGAAGTGTTTATATAAGACTATACAGATCAGTACTGAACTCCAATTAGTGTCGAGGTTTTTTTTCTGTCCCTATCAGACAGAGCACATGTTGCTGACTGACCATGGAGCAAGTCTTTTTGCCAAGGCCATGGGTGTTCCTGAGATTCCAGGGGAGAAACTTATATCGGAAAGATCCAGGGAGAGATGGAGCAAGAACCTTGAGCCAGATTCTAACCCTCATGAGTTTAAAAAGTAGGTACTGCACAAAATATGTTACACTCTAATGTCTCTGTGGTATCAGTAAGTGCTTTCTCTAACTAGCAACCATGCAGACTCGCTGTAGGATCGCAAAGTTCTGTAGGCTTAATTCTGCCATGACATACACATGTGCTTCCACGTGGTTTTTAAATTATGCCCTCCATGATATGTGGGCAACCTTCAGTAGGCAAGTGTAACTGATTAAATTTGGGAAACAATCCCATTGATGTTGAAGAAGGAAGAGAATCCAGCTCATGCTCACTTAGCAGTGTGGGCCCTCCACCATTGGCAGGTGGGGAAAAAATATTTCCTCTGAAGTTAGCAGATAGTCCTGAACAAAAACACTGAGCAGATCTGGTGAGCAAGGAAGTGCCATCTATATAGAGTCACTCTCCAAAGGAGAGCTGTGTGACAATGCGGTTCTGGCGGAACCCAACT